AGACAAAAGAGAATGTACAGTTCATTGAAAATGTTAAGAAACAACTTCCACTACGAATGCCAAGAAGAAGAGTGAGAATAATGAAGTAAAGAGATATTTTTATCCGAAGGAAAAACATGCAGAACGAACAGTTAAACGAATTTACTCCAGCAGAGCATATTCATCAGATTCGCTCATATTTCGATATCATAGACAATGCAGTTCAAATTGGTGACACTAATAGAAAATATTCTGACGCAAAGATTCCATCACAACCTGGAACTGCTAAAGATAACACATGGGTAACATTCAATCTCTCACCTCCTGGTGAAAATATGTTGGACCTTTACAATACATTCATTACGTATAAAATGGAAGGTCAATTTATTGTAGATAAAGAAATTGGTTCAGGTTCCAATAAAACAAACCCACCAGGATTTTGGATTGGTTTCGATGACGCTTTCTATGCAGTTGCTGGATATCAAATCCTTGCAAATGGTCGTATCGTATATTCTCAAGACAACGCAAGAGAAGAAGCATATATAACTTCAAACTCACAAACTACCGAACAAATAAAGAAAGTAGATGTTTTCTCAAAGACTCGACATGAAGATGTATGGAGTCATTCGGGAACATGCAGAACAGGACAAATTGTTAGTGGTCCAATTACAGCAGGAAAATCATTTGATTTTAAGCTTCGTTTAAGAATTCCTGTTAGAAGATTCCTTCCATTAGAAGCTATTCGATTTATTCCAGCTTTTGCAGGAAACATTCAGCTTAAAGTAAAGTTCAGTAGCGACGCCTTACAATGCACATCTATATCTGTAAATGATATCATTGCTTTCAATCCAACTCTTAAAGTTGCATTTGCTTCAGATTCAAATCCACCGACAAATAAATTTGTTCCATGGAATGAACCATTCACTATGATAACGAAGGCAGTAGAAGCTAGTGGAACAGTTACTATTACAACTGTAACCCAGCAACTATTTCGAACAAAGATGGATTTTAATGAATGTTTCATTCATCCAAAGTCATTCTCTTTAGACCCTAACATTTATACAGAACTTGTAGAACATTATACAAACGAGGCTTTATGTTTTCCTGTTAAAGTTATGGATTGGATTCCTATGGACGGTTCATTCTCAAAGAATACAGATAGTTCAAGTGCAACATTTACAGCAGCTTATACGCCTATTAATGTTAAAAGTATTTGGGCACTATTTAGAAAGAAAGACAACTATTATGTTAATTTTGAGAACCCTAAGTTTAAATATCTTCAGCTTTCCATGGGAGCTTATGGAAATATGCCTGCAGAACCTGAAAAATCATATGGACCTGTATTTTATGAAATGGTTGCGAACGCTTGCAATACAAACAATGATATGATAGGATTTAATGAAGATGTTATGAGGTCATTGGTGGATGATGGTAGTGTGGAACATAAATGGGATAGCTATGACAACACACATTTCTTATGTGGTTTTCCAACAGAAGTGGACTTTTGCTTCATGCAGGGTCAAACATCTACTGCTCCAATAACATACAAATTGTCTGTTAAAGGACCTATTGAACTAGCAACTGAAAATGTACCAAAGCCACTTATTGGATTTATGAGGGATTGTTGCTTTGCCATTCAGGTGCGTGCTAATGGAATCCCAATAATAAGATTAGATGACTATAACTTAGCTGCGGACGACAGTGAGGAATAAAGGATGAACGTTTATTTTTAAAGCTTATAAATGAGTTCTTCATCAAGCTCTCGTGAACCTTCACCATCTGTGAAACAAACTTTACCAAACGATTATGGAGCACCTATTGAATATTTCTTACGAGCTGCACAATGGCAAAGAGCAGTCTCACCAAGGTTAGGTGTTCCACCAGCTCCTGTCAAAAATAGCATTTGGTCAAGTCCTTATATAAGATATGGTCTCCCACTAGGTTTGCTAGCTACAGCAGGAGCAGTTATGATGTTGAAAAGAAATAAAGCAAATGTTGTAAATAATACTGAAGTAGCTGAAGTTAAACAAACTCCAACACCTTCGCCAAAACCAACGTCAAAACCAACGCCTTCACAAGCAAAACCTTCAATGACTCCTGAACCTATGGAAGTACAAACTCCTGTTCAAAAGTCAACTCCTAAACCGACTCCAACATTTAAACCAGAACCTACTCCTCAAATAAATCGTAAAACTCCTGCGTTTCCTTACTGAAAAAATAACGTTATTTTTATTTAATATTAAAATTTTTATTTGATTGAAATGACAAATAAAGTCACTGAAGCAATGAAACAAAAGTTTTTGGTAGAATACATTAAATCAGGAACTATTCCAGAAGGTTTTTACATTCATACTATGAAGGATGGTAGAGTTCAGTTTAGAAAGATAAAGCAACCATTAGATAGAGAAGGTATATTAAGGAAGATTAAACTTCATGAAGACAACATTGCTGAACTTAAGAAGAAGTTAGAAGAGTTGGAGAAAGCAGACAACAGTGAGGAATAAAATATTTCATTAGTTTTATTTTTACTGAAAAATTTTATTTGGATGTAATGACGAAAACTATTGAGATAACAAACTACAACGGTCATGAGTTTAAGAATTTGTTCTTCGTTCCTCGTGAAAATACATTCTATCAGATACGAGGGAGAAAGGGTAAAGTTAGTTTGAGCGTTTATGACTACAAGCATAATGGAAAGTTTATACAAGCATATGATACAAACGGTAAGCGTGTTTCATTAGCTTTGTCAAAACTTACTAACATTCATTTTGACAGTGACTTTGACTCTGACGATTGGAGTGACAGCAGCGATAGTGAAGAATATGAACTGTTGTGTGAAGCAAAGCAATGGGAAGAGTTGCAATACTTTTGTAAATGAGAACGTTTATTTTTTACCGTAGTAAAGTCGTTAGTGAAAACGTTAGTGAGGTGAAGTGGTTGGTGGTTTTGTAAATATTTAAGGTTAAGTTAGTGTTGTCGTTTGTGTTGTAAAATATACGTTAACGGTTTTGTAAAGTGTCAAATACACATATAATGGGTAAGGAGGCGCGCAGTGCCGCCGTACCCATCTACCCTAAATTTATTTTTGGGCTATGTTTTCATACGCGTGAAGGTGGTGATATCATTTATTTTTAAGTTTATTTTTATATAAATGACAGAACAAAAATAAAGCATATCTACTCAACAGGAATGAGACCCTTACTGACTATGTATTCGTTTAATGCTTGATGAAAACAATGGTACATATTATCGTATGGGTATACACAACGTCTGTTTCCATCGTCGTCGTATATGTAGAGCTCAAATCCAGTCCAACCTTCTTTTGTACAATATGTAGCTTTATTTAAGTATGCATTTATGTAGATAAGACAATTTTCTTCATCGCTCCAGAAATAATTTTTGTTCTTTGTTGAAATAGTTTTCGTTCCTCTGCGACCATAAGGAATGTATGCAATGAACTTTGCGTCATAAGGGATTGTAATATATTCAGGGTTTCTTTCATCGTCAATGGGTCTGTCTTTGTTAAAATGCATGTTTCTCAGTTTTACTTGAGTTTTGAATAGTTCACGGAAACGTTCTGGGAAAGAGTCATAGTAAATGTAGTCGGACATGTCTTTGTAATGAAATAAAAAATTTAAAAAAAATAAAAATAAGGTTATTTTTATTTAGTGAGGACGGTAGTGAATTCGTTAGTGAAGTCGTTAGTGAAGTCGTTTATGTGTCAGATGGTTTTGTAAATATTTAAGGTTAAGTTGGTGTTATGATTGTGTTGTAAAATATACGTTACCGGTTTCGTAAAGTGTCAAACCGTTATCTTGGGTAAGGTGGAACGCAGTGCCTCCGTACCCAAGATAGGTATATTAATTAATGTTGATAGCGATGATGACGATAGTTGGATCATACGTCCAAAAAAGGAAATACAGAAGAACAAACTTGAAATTATTGCTGAAAAATGCGAAAAGAGATTAAACAGAGTGAGAAATTTAAGTCAGGCTTGACCAAAATTTGATGAAGATGATTTGGAAAGTCCTTTGTCGGAAGATGACTAATTTATTATATTATTTTTTTTATTTTGGTTGAATTAAAGGTGATTTTTATATTCATTGGATTTTGTATAGAATTGTAATTATAGTTTGAATGGAAACAATAAAACATTATAGTGATATAAGACATCTTAGAAAAAAAAATTGTAATTTGACTATTTCAATATCATAAACACATTTCTATTGTTATAAAAGTCTTAAGTGCTTGTGATCAGATAAATCTGTTTTTCAATAAGACATCTTAGAAAAAAAAATTGTAATTTGACTATTTCAATATCATAAACACATTTCTATTGTTATAAAAGTCTTAAGTGCTTGTGATCAGATAAATCTGTTTTTCAATAAGACATCTTAGAAAAAAAAATTGTAATTTGACTATTTCAATATCATAAACACATTTCTATTGTTATAAAAGTCTTAAGTGCTTGTGATCAGATAAATCTGTTTTTCAATAAGACATCTTAGAAAAAAAATTGTAATTTGACTATTTCAATATCATAAACACATTTCTATTGTTATAAAAGTCTTAAGTGCTTGTGATCAGACAAATCTGTTTTTCAATAAGACATCTTAGAAAAAAAATTGTAATTTGACTATTTCAATATCATAAACACATTTCTATTGTGCTAAGCTATTAGTCTTCTTCGATTTTTGGATATTGATCGACACATTCTCAGAAAAATATAGCTTTTAAAAATACGCTTGAGTACATCTGACAACTGATATGGCATATCAATGAGAATTAATATTAAATAATATAATAATTATTTAATATTAATTATTTGTATAAGTGTACACTATAAAATGGAAAATAACAGTTCATATGAATATTGATTTTAAAACCATCAAGTGGCTTAAAGTTTTCCTGATTTATAAACCATTTAATGGTATATCATAAACTAGGAAGAGTTAATTTTAGATAAATAATCTTTATTATAAACAAAAATAATATATACAAAACAATAATAAAATAATAATTCATGATTGTAATATGTAATAAGAATATATTGCAGTTAAGAGTTTCTCTCGAAGAATGTCGAAATTTGTGAATTGAGGTATGATCAGTTTCATGAAACAAGTCGAAGCAGTTGGAAGAGGCCATGTCTTCTCATCATTTTCGTCGACATTTTCGAAATCTTTAATACTCATCGGGTATACACTGATGAAAGGTTTGTAATTCCATGCAGGAATAGATGAATATCCTGAACTGAATCTCAAGAAATCTCTCAAATTCTCTTCACTGAATGTGTCGATTACTTTGAACAACAAATCTGTATCGTAATTCTTAGAAACTAAGATCATCTTGATGTCTTCACTCGTTATCTCTGTTTTTCCTCTGCACAGCTGTTCCAAGTACTTAGGTGTCAAAAATTCATTACAAGGAACAGGAGAAACAATGTAAAATCCTCTTCGAATCAATTCTAAACTGTTTTTCAGTTCGTTGATTCTGATCTTCTTGATCTCTTCAATGAAATAATCTTTCTCACTAAAATCAACTTGATCTGGTTTGATTGTATGAACTTCGCCACTCAAAAGTGTGACTGACCAATTAACATCTGAAAAACTTTCTTTCGAATTAGAATTTTCCAAGATACTGACGAAATCTCGAAATGAATTATCAATAGAGTAAATATCATCAATTGTCAAATCAATGCCACATAAATATCGCCAGACAAATGGTGAAAAATTGAAGTCAAACGTGATATAACTAACTGCAGCACAGCCAATCAATGCGCCTGCACAAATGAACTCAAATTCATTACTCACAAATGGATTTGGGAAAAGTTTTTCTTTGTCGACATTTGACAAAATAAAAATTTTGTTGTTTGGATTCACGATTTCTCTGCAAATGTCGTAATAAACTTCTCTCATTGGACCACCACTGTCGATACCTTCTTCTGAGATAAGAATAGTCTTCCAGATTCGCTCTTTGTTTCGTAAAAAATCAAGTCTGTCAAAACTTTTAATTTGTGAAGTGAATTGATGGAAAAGTGACACACCTAAACCTGTTTCATGGAATTTACGACTTTGATAACGATTGAATCTCAATGTCAATGGTTCTCTGCAATATCCGAAATTGAATAATGCTTCTTCGTATTTTCGACAACTTTCTTCAAATGAAATGTTCCATGGCAAAAATTCAACGGTTTTCACAAAAAAGGTGACTTCTTCTAACATTGATTTTCTCAGTGAAACTGTGTCTGAATCGAATTCTGAGATTTCTTCGCCGTTCATCATCTTTTCGTCATATGAATAATTCCATTTCTTGTTTTCACAAATTTTCGTAAAAAGTGTCTCTAAACGGTTATAATTGTTATCGTCGACCAAAACTTGGACAGTTAAATAAACTGGATCTTCTTCTGGATTTTCTAATGTAAATTGTTCTGGTAAGACCAAACTGTTTGTCACTTTTTGTGATGTTTCAACAACAACAGGATTTTGTGACAAATATGAAAATATATCAATAACAACAGATTTGTTTGAGAAATTATACTCAAATTTGCCTTTCTTGTCTAAAATCATTTTGATCTTTCTCAAAAGTAAAAATTTCGAAACACAAATAGGATAAAAAGTGACAGAACGATTATTTTTGAATGATAAATATAACAAATAATTATCTGAGTTTTGGACGAACTCGTTATCTGTCTCTGATAAATATATTTGGATATCTCTGAAATCTGACAATTTTTGAACAACTTTGTTTCGAAAATCTGAAATTTGTAAACTGAATTTTGTCATATTTTCGTCAAATTTCATATTATTACTAACAAAATTTGTCAAATATATAATTGAGTCCAAATCATTAAGTTCACTATTAGAATATGTTTCGAGTAAAATTCCTAATAAATTATTAGACAAAAAATCATTTTCTGGGAAAATTCTTGGACAATAATAAACAGAAGAATTAAGAAAATTACTGTCGTTTTTGGAAATCTCCAAGAGAACAATGAAAAGATGAATCAAAGGAATTGTTGTGTTGTCATCTTTAACAAATTTTTCAATAAGATAATGACCTAACAAAAATTCGTTTTTCTTCATCAAAATGTCTTTCGAAACATTGTTTGGAACAATGAAAACTTTGTTTTTCTTTAATGACAAACAATTTGAAAATGGTTTCGTTTTTTCAAGTAATTGAAACATGATTTTTGAATTCTTACTTTGGATGATACTTTTTCCAAGAAATTCCAAAATTTTTGGTCTGTAATTTATCAACAATCTCTTCATATTACTTGTGAAGATGTCTTCAATAGAAGAGATGTCACAAAATTCAAAAACAGTTTGACAAAACTTACAAATCAATTCAATTTTGTCTAAATTATAAAATGAATAATATAAAATTAAAATATATCTTGACAAAGATGATAAAAGATATAAACTTGACTTATTATGTGCTCTTGTATTGATAAAAGTAACTTTCTCCTTATCATCGTTAGACAATGAATTAAACAAAATTGATGAACTTCGTTGTAAAATTTTTGTCAAAGATTCATCCAAAACTTCAATGTTTTCTTCTGTTGAATCTAAAACAACAAATTCTTCATCATCTTTGAAAGCAATAACTTTCATCATACTGTTGTTGATTTCAAAGATAACACCATTACACTTCTCTTTTCTCAATCTGACAAAACTGCCAACAAAATAGCCGAAATAATAATTTGGAGGTTGAAAAGTGAAGTCATCACTTTCAGGAGGATCAACATAAACAGGTTTCTTGAGTTGGAATATGTGATCTTGAATATATTTCGGTGTATCTTTCGTCAAAAAATAATTAAATTCCGTTTTCAGTTCACATTCATTATAAAAAGTGACAATTATTGGATAAAAACTTTTTGAAATGTTATACAAACATTGTTCATCTTGTAAATTGTCATTTGAGAAAACACAAAATGTCCTGTTCTTGTAGCAAATGGAAATTTTCTTTGATGGATGTAATGGAATTAAATTTTCTAAAAAAGGGTAAATTATATTTCCCCTTAAATCAACACCCATGAATCGAACAGGAAGATTCTTGTTGATGAATCCAATCATAATAGAATTATTTTGCGATTTTTTCACATCAACAGTCATCCAAAATAAACCGTCACGTTTCACTTTTTTTGACAAAACAAAAACACAACAATCTTCTTCCACGCCGATAAGAGTTCTATCGTCTGTCACATCACCACTTCTCAAATGAATGAATTTGATGAAATTCGTTTTGGAAATAGTTGGAAATCCATTCAAATTCCTTGTTGTTGTTTCAAAATCATGATATAACATTCCAAGCGGCTTTTTAACAGTTTTTAGAGCTAAATCTTCAAGAATTTTTACGTCTAAGTTGATGTTTTTCACATTTTGTATGTTTTGGAATTGCGTCATTAAAAATGTGAAAAGTGACAAAACCGCCAAATTCCCTTCAACGTCTATTTTATCAGAATTGATAATTTGAGATGTCTGTTTGGTCAGTTCACTTATTACATTCAAAGATAACTTAGATAAAATTAAAATAGGGGGAGAAACAGAAAAAGAAGGGGTGAAATTAAGGAAATCATTGATTTTGAATTGATTTTGCAAAATTTTCTCATCGGAAAATGATTTTTGCAAATAATTTGTCGATGAACTCGAATAAATCGAATTTCCAAAAACATTTAAAAATCCTATCGTTGTGTCACTTTTTAGATCTTGACACTTTTGGATGATTTTTTCTAAAATGTCAGAAAATGGTTTCTTTTGATTTAGGAAGAGTTTTCTTAGATATAAAATCAAATTTTTTGTTCCATTTGTTTTAGAAAAAATTGATTTTATATTTTTTCCAATTTTCGACAACAAAAATTCGATTTGTTCTTGATGAATATCTAAATCTAATAAATTAGTCAATATCTTGTTATCTAGTTTCGTTATATCTAATTTAGATATTTCAAATAATTCTGACATGACACTTTTTGGCAAAAATCTCAAAAAATTCAAATCATTTTCAACTAATTTTGGTAAATACTTTTGTAATACAGTTTTAAGATCTTCATTTTGTGATTTAAATACTAATCCAATGATCATTTCCAAGAATGGTTTGAGTTTTTTATCTTTTGAAAATCTTGGCAAAAATGAAATTGAATTTTTGTCAAAACCGTAAACCGATAAGTAAAATAAATTAAAGAAAACGTTACATTTTGGTTCCAATTTTTCTCTTATTCCTATATCACATTTCGGATTCAAATATCTATAGAAAACTTTTTTGTGGACATCTTTTTTTGAAGAATTTTCAAACAAATTAATGAAAGAAATTGCTGTTTTCTTGTAGATCTCTCTTTCTTTAGATATTTTAACAATATCACATATTTGTGACAAAGTGTTTTGTGATTTGAAGAAATCAATTATTTGTTTCAATGATTCATTAAATTCCAAATCACTTTTTGTGTTCATTAGAAACTCTGCTTTTTCTTTAATTGTTTTTGACATCAATTCAAAGTTTTGTCTGATTTCTGGTGAATCTTTGTCATTGAACTGGAAAGAATTGTATATCATCGGTCTCAACTTCTGAACTGATTTATAAACTAACAACAAATTAACTGGAATTTCAATTCCTTCATAATAATCTATTTGTTTCTTGTTTTTATTTTCTTCTGAAATTTGATTTTGATTGGAAATAGTTTGATTTGTGTCTTTATAATTGTTGTCATTTACACTTTGATTCGTGTCACTTTTTGAATGAAAATTTTTCTCATTTTCATTGTTGATCATTTGGTTAGTGTCACTTTTTGATTCTTTATTAGAATTTTTATCATTTTCTTTATTAACAGATTTTTCATTATGATGATGTGTGTCACTTTTTGAACTGTCAATATTTTGATTAGAATTATGATTTTTATGAGTTTCATTGTCATGAATCGTGTCACTTTTAAAGTTGTCATTATTACGATGTATGTCACTTTTTATGTTGTCAAGATTTTGATGAGATTCATTCTTTGGATCATTATTACGATGTGTGTCACTTTTTGGATCATCATCTTTATTAGTGGATTTATCTTTAAGTTTGTCACTTTTTGAATTATCTTTAAGTTTGTCACTTTTTGGATTCTCGTTATTTTGTTGTGTTTCACATTTTGAATTTTCAGTATTTCTTTTAGAGTTTTCTAAGTTTTTTCTTCTTTTTGACTCTAACAATTTTCTTGTCAATTCAAAAAAAGAGTCAACTAAGCCAATACAACACAAACTAGAAGCGAAAATGTTTCTTTCTACTAATAAAACTTCTTTTGGAGGTGTTTTGTGTCTCCAAAGTGATTTCTTCTCAAGTAAATCATATGAAATGTCAAATAACTCTTCATCAACAAAATTTGACAATTGTAAACCAGCGTCACTTTTTGGAAATTGTAAAATTCTTCTTTTTTGTATTTCTTCTTCTGTTTCTGAAAGAGAATTCAAACATAAATTACAAAAACGTGACATAATGAAATAGAAATAAGAAAATAAAAACAAATTCGAGTCAGGAACCAAAAATTTCTTATCGGAACAAGGAACGTATTTTTGGCCAGTAATTAAAAATCCTCTGTGATAAAATCTCTCAAAATTCGGAATAACCTTAAAATTCAATTCGTTTTGATTCGTAAATGTCATGTCGTCTTCTAATCTCTGACCATTTACAAATATGTCGCCGTTACCGGTTTTTACATCGGTAATTTTTACATTTGTCACTCTTTGGGGATGAACCGAAAAACCAAATTCTTTTCCATCAGTGACTAATGCGAATTGATATTTCTCCTCAAATTTTTCCTTTAAAAATTTGAGAGGTTTATTTTGATCGTAAAATTTTTCATTCAAATTTGTTTTGGTATTTTTTGAGGAAATATTTTCCATAAATTTTTTGGCAGAAATGATGATAGACTTTGCAAGGGATTCTGTTTGCTTTATAGATGTCGAATAATAATAGAATACCTTTAAAAGTCTTAAAGATTTGTCTTTTTGGTTGGAATTTAATAATTCATTCGCTTTTTCAAAGAAAATTTCAATGAATTGCTGGAGAGGAGTATCCAAACCAAATTTGTTAGATAATTGAACGAAAAGAGGGAACTTTGTCTCAAGATTTTCGACGACTTTCAAATTATTAAAGGAAAGAGCTGTTTGTGGACCGTATTTTGGCTTGAAATCAAATGAAGTGACGTTCAAACTCCAAAATACCCTGTTTACGAAATCTTGATTCGTATATAAATATCGAAATACGATTAAAAGGAACATTTGTAAGGAATCAAGTATCGGAAGACCACCTATATCTTCTTTGGCTATCAATAAACAGTTCTGTACCTTTTGAATTAAATCTGTATTTTTTATTTTTTCATTATCTTCGACACAAATCGCGTTTAAGTTGAGAGCGATCAATCTTAGCAGCATTGTAACTAAATACTCCCTTAATTCTGGTCTCATATTGAGAGATTTTTCGAAAATTCTTAATAAAACAATTAAATTCGACATACTTTGGTTTGTAAGTGAAATTAATAATGGATCCGTGGTCATAGATCCAGAATAAATTCTTTTGAACCTTGTATCAGCTGAATACATCAATTCTTCGATAATATTTGAAATAATATTTTCATTTGAATCAGTTTTATATAGATAAGGTATGAAAATTGTCCAATCTTTCATTTGTTTGTATTGTTTTCTGTATATTTGTTCTTTAATTAATAGAAATGAGTAATATTTTTCTTGATGATACAAAGTTGGTGCCAAAGGATAGTAATTATAGGGTTTATTTATCTTTGTAAGTGCTGAGCAAGTGATTCCATCTATTGTTGTTGCATAAAGTGGTCCATTTTTCGTAAAAATTTGTAATTTATGGTCTAAAAAGAAAGTTCCAAGGATTTCTTCGTCAACAGTTATTTCTTTCTCTACCTTATTGATTGTTTCACTCAATAGATTGCCTCTTACTATAGTAACAAGTAGAGTTTTTAGTGATTTTAGTTGAATAAAACAAAATCTTTTCTCAAAATGATAAATAGAGAGTATTTTGTAAAGCGGTATGATTTTATCGAGTGCGCTTGTTGTTAATGGCTTGTTATTATTTGTTTTTAAACGACAATATTCGATTGTATTTTTTGATGGCGTAAAAACGTAAATATGTTTGTTCCAACATGCAACTTTTGAGTCATCAAACACTTTGAAGTTAATCAATTTGGGAGAAATTAATCCCCTGTACTTATCCAAAATATATTCCGTTCCTTCGTGGATATCTATTGAAATTATAGTGTTTTCTCCATTGTACACGTAGTTTTCTTGCAGAGTTTCGTCGATAAATCGTTCAAGAAGAAACAAATAGAAGCGAGATGACTTCAAAACAGCGGCAATATCAGGTAATATCGATGAAACTGCATCGTGTACGTTCTTTTTGTTGAATTTGCTTTCAATATCGGTAAAAAATTTAATAATTGACTTAATTGAATATTTAGAATTTGAAAATTCATCACTGAGATCATTTAATGCATTAAGAAGCTTATTCTCTGATATATTTAAGTCGAAATCGAACTCTTCTGTGTGTTGATCTGTGTTTTTTGGTGTTAAATCACTAAAATATTTATCAACTGTTAGTGATTCTATTTCAAAATTCTCTTCTATATGTTCACGTATCTTCTTTTCGGTTGGTTCGATGAAAATTGAAAGTGGACACATCGATTTCATTGCTTTTGACGCTTCATCTTTTAATAAATCAGCTCTTTCATTATCAACAATGTAATTTACATCTTCTGTTGTTATATAATACTCATCTAAAGGTTTAATATCAATATTTGAAATGAATTCATCTGAAAAGACATAATCAGGGTTAAATTCATTCATTCAAAAAAAAGTCTTTTTTTGTTCAGGAGAAAAATATTTTTTTGGTGGTCAATTTATAATAAAATAAAAACTTCATTTAAACTAAAAGATATTATCTATGAGTGAAAGATCCAGAATCAGATGAAAATTCCAAAAATATCAGAAATTAATGCATTTATACCATAATGAACTTTCTTATGTTCAACCAAACTTAATTGCACTGCAGAAATGCGGATAAAAAGTAACAATTGCCCTAATAATTTTGATTTATAAAACATTCATTTCACTTAGTATTACAACTATTCATTTTGTGTTGTGAGACTAATATCTGACTGATATCCATCATTTTATGAGCCAAAAAGAAAAAGTATTCAATTTTGATGTTAACTATCAAAAATGAGTCATTATATTTGGACTTATACATAACCTTTGTATTTGAAATTATATATTAACCGATGTCAAGTCACAATAATAACACAAAAAGAAAATTGGATTCGAATCTTTTTGCAAAAGCATAAAAATATGTAGATTTTATCATTACATCAATGCGTATATAACGTTTTGATTGGTTAAAAGTGTCAAAATAAAAATGTCTTCAGATCAATTGGTCTATAACGAATTGATGGGATTGTTCAAAGACTTTATCGATTTAATGAATGGAATATACAAGCTACGTATGACTAATGAAGAGGAAATAGACAATTTTTACAAAGAAATCAAAACAAATTTTATCGAAACTAAAAGGATATCACCATATCATATTGCAAGAATGATTTTTAGTGCATCAGTATATAACAATCGTTACTTTAAATCATATTGGATCTTATTCAAAAAGTTATTTGAAGATAATAAGACAATAGAAATTAAAGGTGATGTTTCTATGCTATTGTATTTTGTATATAAAGAATATGGTATTCTTTTTGATGATCGAAACAAGAATTTTTATTATGAATATGATTCTCAAAAATTTACTATAGATATTCATGAAAAAGGCACAATTTACAGAGCAATCATGGATGATGATAAAGAATTATTTATAGCATTAGCAGAGCAAGAAGGATTTAATAAAGACCAAAAGCTCAAAAGCATTTTTTATACGCTTAATTATTTTGGACTTTCTTTACTTGAATTATGTTGTTACCACGGTTCTGTTAACTGTTTTAAACTTTTACGAACGAAATTCAACGCAAGAATTACACCAAATTGTATCTTATTATGTTTTTTAGGTGGAAATCCCGAAATCATCAGTGAATGTTTGAAAGCAAGGCAGTCGGATAAAGAACAAATGCGATTTGCTATAATTTCTCATAACATTGATTTTGTTACGTTTTTGGTCAATGAATATGGCTTTCAAATATCTTATCCACAGTGTATTTTATACAATAATTTGCATGCGTTTTTTGTTAATTTCGATATAACAAAAGATATTGATGACTGCTTTCTAAATTCAATATATTTTGCAATTCCTTCTCTTTGTAAACATTTAATATCTCTTGGTGCAAATACAAATTCAGTCGATAAAGAAGGAAACACAGCCTTTCATATTGCTGTAAGAGCGGAATGTAAAGAATTAATAGATTTATTTTTATCATATGGAATAGATGTCAATGCAAAAAAATCGAAATTATTTTACTGCTCTCCATTTTGCAGCAGAAATGAATAGTAAAGAAATATTGGAATATTTAATAAGTCTTGGCGCAGACATAAATGCAAAAAATGCTGACGGAGAAACCCCTCTTCATTTGGCTGTGGAAGCAGAATGCAAAGATATTATTGAAATTTTAATATCTCATGGTGCAGATATCAATGCAAAAGATGATATGTTACAAACACTACTTCACCGTGCTTCTATGCTCGACAATAATAATGAAATTGCAAAATCTCTAATTTCTCATGGAATAGATTTGAATGCAAGAGATAACCAAGGTTGCTCTGCATTAGATTATGCTAAAGAGGGCAGAAATAAGGAACTGATAAAACTTCTTATTTCACATGGCGCAAAACGAAGAAAATAATTTAAACTTATCCACTTCATATGTAATTACAGTAAAGCATAACTATAAATCTGATGAATATAATCAAAAATTTTTGTATCATAAAAAAAATCTCAAATTGTGACAAAAAAAATGTAGATAACTGAGTATTCATGTCTGCTTTTCTATGCATGATTAGATTTACAAATTTATACAGCAATAATCCTATCGAATATTGAATTTTTTCTAAAATTAGTAATCTTTATCTCTTATGCGCTAGAATTTCATACAGAATTATCAAAAACACTAGAATGTTTATGTTTCCAAGGATTAATTTTGAATGTTGTAAAATAATCTAAATACATTGAAGGAAAACTATATATTTATTTTAAAAAGTATTCATGAAGCAAAGAAAACATAACAAATTAATCATATTCTGGTGTATAAAATATGTCATTGATGGCCGGATCAGATTCAAGGGTTGTCTTAGCTTTTGGAATAACAACGTCGCAGCCAGATCTTATTTGAAGCTCGTCTACATTTAAATTATCTGGTTCTCGTCCTTCTCGACGAGCTATTTCTGCTAATAATGCAGCCCTATATAGGAGCAACGATTGCCTTCTCCGAAAGCATTGCTGACGCATATAGTCGACTGATATTACGGATGGGATATTAATTGTTTCTGCTTCTTCTTTGGATATTTCATATTTTTGAGTATTTTCTTTTCTGACTCTTTCCCATTCTGAGTTTGTTCTATCCCATTTTGTACTTACCAGTAAGCCTCCTTTCAGAATGTAGCCCGATTCCTTCAATTTTTCTGGGTTATTGATCAAATCCTCATTATCTTTCTGGATTGCAATAGGATCTGCACGTATATTATCGTACTCTGAAATTGCTTGTTTCCTTAAAAGTCTGCATATTGTAGTTCTAAGCGATGCGCGCTGCCTCCAAGGGAGATATCCTGTCATAAGATCCCATTGAGTGAGGCCGTACTTCATACATATCTTTCTAAGTACAGATATTTCGCACGGACTATGAGATCCTGCAAAAATATGAACAAGAAACCCATTGTCTACTTCTCCCTCTTCCATATTTATTTAATTTTTAACCTCTGAAATTTTTGAAATGCGTTCAAATTCAAAACAATATTTTTGAATAATATATCAGTAAAATTTAATGTTGCGGATATTGGTAAAATTTTTAAGATTAGTTTTTTATTGTTTATCACTATTAAATTAAATATTAATATCTCTAGTCGAAATTGTATTTTCTCAAATTACTTTAAAACGGTTAGGTGGAAAATTTTGTTTTGAAAATTGAATCGAGTTTTTGCATTTTTGCACTTTTTGCTCTGACAAGACAGGTTAGAATTATGCCGAATTTACGCATCCATAGGGAAGGTACTACTAAATCGCAGTTTAATATTATAATAAACTTAGTAAAATCATGAAATTAGTCAAAAATATAACGACCACTAATATAAAACATGTGTAGATTAGAAAAATGGAATACATCAGCTGGACCTCCAATATACATCATTATTTCAAAATCAAAAGGAGAAATCTCATTCCAAAGAGATGATTGGGAGCATATTATCAACTAGATTGCATCATTTGATCGAACAATCATGGGCTTCCTGATTTTTGTTGGGATTTTGGATTACATCATGCTCTATCTCCAAATCAATGTAATACCCCTTCTTTTGTGCTTGTATCATTATATGCCTTAATTTCTATTGGATATGTATTTCATATATCGCCATAAAACTGAAAAATTATATTAAAATTCTGATATAACATTAAGTTTTCTATCTAAATGAATTGTTTAAATTGCATATCCGATTGGTTGTTACAAAGCGTAACTTCGAAATACTTTTATTGTTGACAATGGATTCTCACAAATTATGGCAATCCATTATAGATTATGGGCGAAAGGTGTTTACTATCAAAAAAATATATGATTGAGATATATGACTTTTAGTTTAATTAGCTAAATATCTATCATTGAATATTGTATTAAGGATTAGTTAGCTTACGCATGCTAACACACTTCAGCTTAGCGTTGTTTTTTATTATTAGTATGGTCGTTGTTCTCTATTCCGATTATTTCGAAGGACAATTTTTAACTCCAAAAATTCTAACCTTTTATTAGCAGAAGATAAATTTATTCCATATGTCGCATGATTATTCATCCAAAATTTTTGTCAATCTATGCTAATTTAAAATGAAATTGACCCTGAAAATATTTTTATTGAATATCTATTATTGTTACTATATGAGTAGTCATATATCGAAATATCAAAACTCGGTTACAAAATTTTCTGAATTTTCCAGATTGAACGACATTGAGTTAGTGGCCAATTATTGTACAAAATTATTCTTCAGTAGATATTACAATTTATTTTATAATTTAAATTGTTCAAATGCATAATTGGAAATGGGCTAATGCAACCATCAATATATTAATGAATTATCTATTCATATCTGCTGCGCATTGTATATTAATATATAATGTCAACATAATGGCCTCATAATCGCATATTATCCATACAATTTCTTTCAATTACTGTCCAATTTGAAAGAGAAAAAAAAATTGACCTGTGAGTGATAAATTCTTACATCACAAAGTGTTTAATATTAATCAAATATCATAATAACGTAGTTGAGTTAAAACGTGAAAAAGGACGGCTCTTCAGAATTTTGTGATTAGATGGTCAGTTCACTTTAAAATGCTTTCCAACGGAAGCTTTGCCCGTAACTTCAACATCCTTGAATGGCAATCCAAGGAAATCTGCGCCAAATTCAACGTTGCTGCTGGTATCAACCTTGTTGCTCGCACACCAGAAGAGGCTGCTGCTGCATTCAAGAAGATGGGACTCCCAGCCGCCGTCATCAAGGCTCAGGTCTACTGCGGTGGCCGTGGCAAGGGCCATTGGAAGGAAACAGGCTTCAAGTCTGGCGTTCACTTCGTAAAGTCCGCCGATGAGGCCGCCAAGATCGCTAAGGAGATGCTTGGCCACCACCTTGTTACAAAGCAGACAGGCGCTGATGGTCTCCTCTGCCAGGCTGTCATGCTCTCCGACCCAGTCGAAGTTAAGCGTGAACTCTACTTCGCTATCCTTCTCGACCGCCAGACACAGTCTCCAGTCGTCATCGCCTCCACAGAGGGTGGTGTCGAAATTGAAGAAGTCGCTGCCAAGCACCCAGAGAAGATCCTCAAGTTCCAGCTCGATGGTGTTGAGGGCATCACACGCGATGTTGCTGTTAACATCTCCAAGCAACTCGGTCTCACAGGCAAGGCTTACGAGAACGGTATTGAGGAAATGCAGAAGCTTTGGAAGCTCTTCGTTGGCTCCGATGCTACACAGGTCGAAGTTAACCCACTCGCCGAGACAACAGATGGCCGCATCATCACAGTCGACTCCAAGTTCAACTTCGATGACTCCGCTCACTACCGCCAGAAGCAGATCTTCGGCTATCGTGACCTCAAGCAAGTCAACCCATTCGAAATCCGCGCTGAGAAGTACGGTCTTAACTACGTCCCACTCGATGGTAACGTCGCTTGCCTCGTTAACGGTGCTGGCCTTGCTATGGCTACAATGGATGTCATCAAACTTGCCGGTGGTGATCCAGCTAACTTCCTCGATCTCGGTGGTGGTGCTTCTGAAGCTGCCGTTACAGAGGGCTTCACAATCATCTCATCTCAGTCACACGTAAAGGCTATCCTCGTCAACATCTTCGGTGGTATCGTCCGCTGCGACATGGTCGCTGCTGGTGTCATCGCCGCCTTCAAGAAGGTTGGCCTCAAGGTCCCACTCGTTGTCCGCCTCGAGGGTACAAACGTCGATGCCGGTAAGAAGCTCATCCGCGAATCCGGCCTCCCAATCATCCCAGCTGACAACCTTACAGACGCTGGTATCAAGGCTGTCAAGGCTGCTAACGGTGAGAAGCTCATCTAAAGAAGTTTGCAAATTAAAATTCTAAAGTTATCAACATCTGATTCAAAAAAAAATCTAATTTTTTAAAACTAATCATTAACTGTGTTAGTGCTCATTTTAAGAATAGATTTACTCTAATTTCATTTGATATTTTGATTTCACTAAAAATTAAAAGTTTCTGTTTATGTTCGTTTGTATTTTCAACAGAATTAATGGTAGTATCATGTCATTATGGTCGTTAATACATAAGGTTTTAATTCATGAAAGGAATCACAGTTTTATAAATAGAGCTCATATTGTAACACATTGTTTCTTTCTAGCTGTTATATCCATATTTCTGTATTATCCATCTGAAATATGAAGTTTTTTTCACCCTTTGATATTTTGAAATTTCGTTCTATTTGAGAAATTTGCATTATGAATCAAATAGATGGCACAAAAGTTATTTGATGCCTTGTTCACTAAGAGAATAGATGGCATTTTTAAAAACAATAGATTTTATTGTTCATTTCCAAGATTATATCATTAATTTATTTATATCTGTTTTAGTTGAAATGCAGTAATTTGATAAAAATAGGCGAGATTTATGGTAATGAATATCTAAACCTTTCATATCAAGTATTTTTTATTCGTAGAAAACTCTGACAACACTTCTTGAGATGAAGAGATTGCCAGCATAGAAGGATGTAAGAATATACATGTTTCCAGAGAGATATTCTGCTGGAAGCATATTTCCTTCTCCTGCAGCCTCAACAATTGTCTCCCAAGAGTTCTCTGATCCTGGGATAACAAATCCAAACTTATAATTCCACTGTTCGATGTTCTGGCCATGAACGAGGATGTCTTGTTGAATCCTGAACTCCTTGATAGCTTCTTCAGTTGAAAAGACGATTTCACGGCCGACGGCTGGATAACCAAGCATTTCCTTTGGAAGGTGGGCGTCCTTGACAGCTGAAAAGACGTCATCAGTCCAGTCCTTAGAGGTCCAAGCAACTTTGCCATTGCTAGAGTTCTTGAGTGTAAGGCTGATAAGCTTGAAGCCCTTTAAGATCCTCTGGGCCTGTGGATCACTGTTAACTTGGATGTATTCAGACATGAAGTATAAACTGTCACTTTTAATCGTAAACGTCTATTGAAATCATCACCGACCGACTTTATGTTTTAGGCATTCTGAATGTTTTATATGTATTTGTTACACAACACCATCCGCATCCACTTGGAAATTATTGATAATTCCTTTTGAATCAAGAGATATCTCATTTTTTATTGATCAATTGAATTGGTTGATTTTCCGGCTAACCAAGCTTCTATAATTCATAAATTATATATGGCTCTGTTATTTGCGTATTTGTTATTTTGATCATATTCATTCTCGATTCATTTTAATTTATTTTCGAAAACGAACGAGTCAATTTCATTTTTGCAATGTATAATATCATTTATCATATTAATTCTTATGATTTCATGAAGCTTTAGAAATTCTATAATAATTTTCCCGCTTGTTTAAAGATAGGTAGTTTTATATAACCTGCATAGCCATATAGAATGGCCTCATGATGCTCATAATCAGAAGATAATAATATTTCATTATGGGGTAAATCTCTTCTAAAACAATAGGTAAAGATCAATTATATCCGAAACTGTCTTACTTTCAAATAGTGAGGTATACTTGCGACAAATATCTTGCAATTCTGGAATCGAAAATCCCAATTATAACTTTTTTAATAATAATAATGGTTTGCTTGGTATTTATACCTGTTTTAAAAATCCAAAACTCGAATTTAGGATGATCTTTGGGTTTTTTCGAATTTGGATGATCCAAAAAGATCATCCAAATTAGCAACCCTATAAGAGGATAACAAATTTAGCAACCCTAGCTATATATATAAGCATACAAGATAACATTATTTTATTCAATATTAGAAGCAGATTCCTAAAAAAAATTGACAAAAAAAAATTAATGGGAGCTTTTTGTTCCTTATGTGGTAATGATAAAAACCAAGAAGAATTAATTCCATTAAAACCGGGTCAAAAGGCAGAACATAAGCTTGTTTTTGATAGACAACATTCAAAAAACTTAAAAGATAAAAATAAAGCAGCAGAATCACAATTTCTCGATAAATCAGTTAAAGAAATTATGGATAAACTTAGTTCTGATGATGATAATGCATCAGATCCGCTTGATCCAGAAGATGCAAAAGAATACGAGGCAATTTTAAAGGCAATAGAAAACCAGCTATCAGACTAACTTATGTAACATTCGATGTATTGTCTCTTAATTTATTTTTAGCTATTCATAGACAAACATTTGTATTTTTTATCAAATCAACTCATTTATGATTGATTTTGTTTCTAAACTATAATATTTATATCATGTATTTTCTACTTGGGAAGATCATTTACTTATTTTTCTCTTCTTTACTCTTTGAATTTTTGAATGTAATTATCCGATTACTAATATCATGTATCTTTGGATGATGAACTATATACTTATTTGTATGTCGATTTCGATACAAAAATTAATTGAAGGTTTAAAAAAAATCATGAAATATTTCTTTTCTTAATGGTATGAGTAAGAAAAGTTAAAAAATATTTGTTATTTTGTGTATAAGAAAGATATTTTATGAAATCCGGATGTTATGCTATTTTTTGAAAAAAAATATATCAATTTTTTTTTGAAGAGCAAAGATACTTACAATTCATCGAACTTTAATTGAACTGGCCATGTTTCGATTGCGCTTTTATCAGGATTCTTCGAATCAACGAAGCCCATTTCAGCAATTTTAGTTGCTCCGAGTTCAATCATCTTCTGCTCGACATTTTTAGTGAATGTAAGATAATATGGGGCTTTCTTTGAAGATCCGCATCCGAAAACTGCAAATTGGACACCATTAAAATAGTCTGGGTCTTTGATAGCAAAGAATTCTTCAAAGAAGGCTTCACACTGTGGTGGTGCTTCACCATGGCCATAGTTTGAAACTACTAAAACTATTTTGTTATATTGTTTTAAGTCTGCTGGATGGATATCTGTAACAGAAGAGACAGGCATGTGGAGTATTTCACTAAACCTTTGTGCTGCTGCAGCGGCGGTGCCTCTCTGTGTAGCGTAAGCAATCATAGAACGTTCAAGCATTCAATAAATGAAATCGAAAAGTGACGCTACAATAATTTGATAGTTCTCATACAATAATTATTTTTTGTGATATCGTGGATTATAAAATTTTATCGTTTAAATAGTTTCATCACACATATCAATAAATAAAAACCAAATCGGCCAATTATAACTTATGTCTTTTGAATACTTTCCATAAAAATTGAATGAAAACTATAAAAGCATATAATGTATTGATAAATGTACAATATTCAAGAGAAATTAAAATCGTTTTTGAAACCTCTTCAATTTCTTTGAAACTAAGAAAAAGGCTGTTTACAAAAGTTATCCATGCATGACATCTCTATTAATAATTTAGCTGAAATTTTTGAACATAAAATCTTCTGAAAGCTCACAAAAAAACGAAAATATGAACAGCCAACTAAGGATCTGATGATTGTTTCTAAGAAATTTGAGTTTCTCTTATACTCTTTGAAATCTCCAGATAAATTTATTGAAAATTATGAACAAATGTAATTTGAAAATTAAAACCAAAAGCATCAACCAAGCCTCATTTCTAAAATTCAAACATGTAACTCTACAGATCAACAATTGTGGTACTATTACCCATCAAATCCGAATATGCCGTAAATTCGAGGTTAAAATTTCAAATTCACATGCCTAATGATATTAATCGTAATATTGTTAATATATATTAGTATTTACTAAGCATAAATTTATGTTTAGATTTCTTCAATTCTGAAGATCTCAAGAGTTTTAGTAGTAGGATAGGAAGGGTTGTGTGACTTTTTTTGTTACATCTATATATAGACGATGCATTAAAATATATTTATTTATAAATCATTAAAAAATTAACATTAATTTTAAAATAATTTATTTTTTATCTTTTATAAAAGAAGCTATATATAGATGATGTCAGATATTCCGCGATTAATTAAACATTGTTTAAATCCTGAATGGGTTAAACTTCAATTTAAAAATGAAGATTGTGAATTATTAAATGAATATGAAAGCCAAAATAAGCTAATGAGGTATAAATATAATGATAAAGAATATTTAATTTCATGGAATCAATGGAGTCATAATCAAAGACCTCATAAACGAGAAGAAGAAATTGAAAATAATGAAATGGAAATCATTGATGACATTAAAGAGGATGGAATTCCTAAATTTTGTAGAAAAACCTTTAGAACTAAGTTAGGAGCATATAAACGTAGAGTATTAAATCCTGAATACATAAAACATTTATTTAAAAAGGAAGACTGTGAATTATTAAACGCTAATGAATATGAAAATGCTAAATCAAAACTGAGATATAAATATATTGGAAGTGATGAAAGGTGTAAAGATAAAGATAAAGTTTATTCAGTTTCATATAATAACTGGCACACGTTAGGGATAAGAAAACATTTAGGAGATTATGGGAAATGTTCTGAATTCTTTAAATCTAGTATGTACGAGAGAATAAAAGAAATTAGAAATAATTATTTTCATGAATGAAAGATTCACTACCATAATAAAAAATAAAAAAATTTTTTTAAAAATAAACTTTAAACATTCATGTCTTACATTTTTGAATCATTTATTTTTAATTCGTATGAAATGAGCGTCAAGACTAACGATGTTAAAAAATTAGAATTCACAAATGAGGAAATAAAGAATATATTAGAGGAGGCGGGTTATGAAGTTGATAAATATTATTTAAGAAATTGTCAAAAATTCGCGGAGTTTTTAAATGAGTTTGATTATGATGGAAAACTGAATAAAGATGATGTTATAAATTTCTTATATCCCACATCTAAAGAAAAAAACCTAAAGAACCTGATGTTTTCCCTGAATATTATGAAGAACGGATTAAAGATGATGATGAATATGATGAAATTGAAAGACTGGAAAAAATAAGAGATGAAATAGATGAAAAAATTAAGGAATTAAGAGAAGTTGAAAAATATAATGAAAATGAAGTAGAGGGTTTAATGAATATCCCAGCTTCATAATCAGCAGTTCAGAAATCTCATGAAGAAAGATATAAAAATTATGTCTCAGAATCAACACAAAATTTATTAGATGGCGAAATAGATGAAACACTTTCAGAAGAAGGTACTAAATTTATTCGTAAACATAAGTTACAATTTATTGATAATGAAGAATACCCCTGTATCCTACTTTCACCACCTTTAGATTCCGAAAAATTCAAAAAAGCTCTTAAAAACGTGACATATGCAACTAATACGATTAAGAAAGAAGATCATGATATTTACACAAATTATTATTTAAATAAATGCACAGGTGTTGATAAAGTTTTTGATTTATTAGATAAAATATCAAAAGAAACCATTGGAACCTATAAAATTTTGTGTGATTGTGGTTTCATTATTGAAGATACCAATAATGTTTCATATGAAAGAACAGCACCGAAGGAAGACGAAGTTGAAAGGTCTATACCATTCGTTATTAAGAATATAAAAGATATGAAAACTTATAAACATTATATTTATTCATTTATTTCAGAAAAAATGGAAGCAACCATAAAACATCTTCTCATCATTTTATAGCTATTCATACATTCCTTTTCAAAGTTGTGAAATTAAATAAGACAGGAATTAGATTTAATGTATCAGGGTACGCATTCTTGAGTAAATTAAAATGTATTCGTCACGTCGCAGATGATAAAAATTTATGTGTTCTTAATTCATTTTATGGGCTTTAAAAAATAAACTTTATTTTTTAATTTTTTATTCTTACATAAATGAACAAAAACGGAACAGCTAAAATGAATGATAATCAAATTAGAGCAGAAGGTAGAAGGTTATTTAAACGCTTCTATAACATTCCTGATGGTGTTAATCCTAAAACTCGTAGAAGTTATTTAAATGAAGCAATAGATGCATATGAAGGGTTTGACATTTCATCAGAAAGTGAGAGATTAGCGAGAATGTTAAACATTAATATTGATTTCTATTATTGTGATCCTCAACCAGAAGACGTGGACATAAATAAGGTAGACTTTCCATTAGTGGAATCAATAATGATAGATCCAGAATTTGAAACAGTAAATATTTTATTAACACAGAGTCCATGTGGAAAACTTCACGCTGACAGAATAACAGACGTTGAAGCACTCACCGGCTATAGAGTTTGTCCATATTGTAAAGAAGAAGTTTATTCTATCCGTGATGATCCAGAAAGGAAAAACCAAAGAAGATTTTTAAAGCATTGTGAGAAATGTAAAGAAAATAATGGAAGATTAATTCAAGACGTTCAATTGCAAAAGACACAGCAACCATATGCACCACATATTACGAAACAGAAGATATATCAGTGGTTATTAGCTCACAATTTGCAGAATATTATAAACCGACAAGATATTATATTACTTTTGACTTTGAAACATTAGAGACTAAAGAAGAATTACAACTTTCTGAGTGTGCAACTTTGAACGCTTACTTAAAACCATTCATGGTATCATCAACGGTTAAATTAAATGATAAAACATATACGAGGAATTTTTGCTTAACTTCGAGTGATTCTTTTATTTCTGATTGGATTGAGTTTTTATTTTCAACCTGTTCATTAGTTGCTAAATCAAATATTGAACAATATGAATTATGAAGTCGCAAACGACCAAACGGCGGGGACTTTGTCTCAACATTAAATGAAAAACAGAAGGAAGCATTTAAAGAACTTCTAGATGAGGAATTCAATAAAGTGAATATCATAGGTTTTAATTCGGGAAAGTTTGATTTAAATTTAATTCTTCGTGATTTAAACACTGCAAAATGGAAAATAAAATCAATGCTGGGTTCATCTTCACAATTTAAGCAAATCATTGTAAAGAAAACAAACGTTCCATATGAATTGAGATTTATTGACATCAGAAATTATATAGCGGGTGGGACATTAGACCAATTCACTCAAGATTTCGGAAACAATAAATCACGTGTTAAATCCTTTTTCCCTTATCAATTCATCACATGGGAAAATTACGAAGAAGAATTATATAAAGAGGAACCATTCACTCAAGATTCATTTTATTCAGCATTAACTCAAGAAACTATATCAGATAGTGATTATCAAATATATCTCAATGATGCTAAAAATTTTAAGAATAGATTAGAATATTTTATTCATTATTGCAATAAAGATGTTGAAATTATGATTGACCCAATTGATAAAATTATTGAAGAAACATTTGTTTATAAAATTGACATGCTTCATAATCTTTCTTTATCATCGAATGCTTCAATGATTCGTTACGCTTTAGCATATAAAGACTTTAATCCTAATGAAAAATATCCTGAGGAAGAGATAGAATCAAGTTTTGAATTAACGAAAAAGTATTGGAAATATAAAATTGAATCATATAAGAAACAAGATGAAAAAGCAGAAAGGGATACTAAAAATAATGTTTCAATGGATGATTTTCAATACTATCACGATTTAATCCTTTCATCTAAATGCAAAATGTGTGGTAAAGCGTTTACATATGCAAATAAACCAACATTGGATAGAATCGATAATGAAAAACCACATACCAAAGAAAATTGTCAGTTAATGTGTTGTTATTGCAATGTCGTAAAATCAAATAAAGATGAAGATGTTCAACGTTTAAGAATCAATTTAAGAAATTATGCATTAAAAAATAATTTACCAATGACTTTAGATTCAGTTGAAGCTTATCACATTCTCCGTAATGGAATTACTGGTGGTTTATCAAATGTTCAACATCGTGTAATCTTAAAGGAATCACGCACATTAATAAACTTTCATATAGTCCAGAAACTAAAACTGTATCAAATGAGGACACCACCAACATTATGACTCATTTCGTTGGTGTTGATTTTAATTCATTATATCCTTCATCATTTTCATCTAATCCTCATGATTTCATTCAATATACTGACCATAAAATGTATATGCCGGGAAGATTGAATGGTGTTATCATTTGTGATACAGCAACAAAGAAAGCAAAAGCACTGGGAATAATTAAGAAGAAAAATACTTTATTCGTGGCTGAAGTA